GTCTCCTTTTTCCTCTGTTTGTAACACTTTTGCATAAAATATGTATTTCTAAGGCAGCGAAGACTCGTTTTTCAGAATACTGTCTAGGTTTGCAAAAGTTTCCAATAGAAGGGGATATTTTTGGCAGGTCTGGGTTAGCTGATCAGAGCACAGGTGCTGGAAGATCGTTCTGGTTTTTATGTAGTCACTGTAAGCATGACATCTGAAGAGAATAACAACACTCTGTTCCTTCTGGAATTTGGGGGAAGAAATAAGACTGGCATTAAATGGGTGTATTAGATCTGAGAGCAAAACACAAAGAAAGTACAAATCTAAAAAAAACAATGAGAAAAGTTACATGAACACAGAAAAAGTGGGTATTTGAAGTAATTTTCTTTTTGGTGTAATTTATTAATCTTTATGGTATACATTGAGAACACATAAAATAATAATTTTCCTCTTACATAATTTAATAAAGTAATGGGCAGTTATAGCAATGTGATCTGCATCAAATTACTTCAAAAGCAGTGAAACTGATACACTTTTAGCTGATGGCATGTGAAGTGCACAAGGAATATCTCTGAAGGTAAGAGTGATTGCTGAGCTGTGATTTATATGCTTCAGTATGAATGACATCCATTTTATGAATGCAATCAAAGCAGTCACAACAGACAGATGGTGTCTGGCCTGTGGAAGTCAAGTGACTTCAGACAGGTTCTTAGAGCCTGATATACAGAGGGCTGATACACAGAATGTCCTGAAAAATGAAACAGCAGCTTAAATTGTAAACCTTTAAATCAGCAAATAGTCACAATTTCAAGTAAAATTTATTATGTTTTGCCCTTGTTTTTTAGTGTTCTGGGCCTGAAACACAGATAGAAATAGAACTAAAAAAAAACCCCAAAAGTAATGAAAATTGATTCTAGAGAATTCTCTCCTTTCTTCATGAAAATAAAAGCTAATACCAAACAGAGTTTTGACTAGTATTTATTACTACAATTATTGTTATTACCTCAGTAGCGACAGCCACAAGACAAGTGTTCCCTGCTAAAATTGCCATTTTCCCCTTCTTTTTCAAGAAAGAGGTCTTCTTAAGTTCCACACAGGAGAAGAAAACATACAATTTGCTCCTTGGTATTATCTCTTTTCCTGTTTCTCTACAAAAGTATTCAACACACCTGAATTATCCAACAGAAAGAATATACAAATGTAACAGGAGAGTCAGTCTGTATACCCTAATCACTATGATCAAGCCTATCAACTACACTATAAAGTGTTTACATTTGCTGAATTGTTATGTTCTGGTTTAGAGGTATCTTTTCATCACCAAACAAAACATCAAAAGATTTTAGGTTTTGACATCCATATCCAGGATATGTTTCAAAGTCTTTAATCAACCACTGAACCTGGATTATCATCAGAAAGTATTAAACAGTCTCTACCTGAATACAGAAGAAACTGATGGACCTCCGACTTAGAGAGAATTTATAAAATGTGATTATTAATTTCAACATATAACACTCCCTAAATGGAATTCTTCAGAAGTTTTGGAGAAGATTGACTGTAAAATTATAATTTGATGAAGAGCTGATGAAGAATTTGAAGATAATGTCAAAATCCAGAAACAAAACAGTTAAACTAATAGTTATGAAGTTCAGACTGGGAGAACAAATTTAACAAGTTTGGATGTGCTTACAAAAGTTTTGGGACAGAAAGGAAACATGGCTTTTCAATTTCATTTCCAAATATTACCCTTATTTCGATTTACAGTGCACCAGAGCAATGCATGAAATTAGTCTTTAAATTCATCTCTTTCCTTACAGAAACAGAAAGCTAAATGTTTACTGGTTTGCGGTTCAGCAGTGATGGCCCCAAACTTGGCCTCTTTTTAGCCACTGAAATGTATGGAAGTGTTTTCAAGAAACCCACATAATCTGGAAACAAAAGTGACAAAATAATGTCACTGAAATTGCCTGTGTTAAAAAAAATTAAAATAAATAAAAAGGAAATGAAAAGAGTGTTTTCCTGCAGAAGTCAGACCTAGATGGTACTATTTTAATTGCTGAAATGTCCTCGCTCTAATCATCGGTCCCAGATGATGCCTTTAGTTCTAAAACACAGCTCAGCATTGCTTGAAAACTGGGAAGATATTGTGCTGGAGCTGAAGTTCACAAAATGAACTAACGTGTTTAAAAACTGCAATTGCTAAAAAGTGGAAAAATATGACATTATTTGAAAACAAACATTATTTGAAAACAAGGCAACTGCTTCTAGAAAATTAATTCAAAACTCCTGCAGCTTTTGAACAGGTAAAATATGAAAATCTGCCTATAAAGCATAGAATTGCCTTTTTCATAAAGCTGCATGAAAATGAAAAAATTAGCAATTTCAATAATACTTTCAAAGAATTAATTTAAAATACATTTTTCATTATTCTTTTACTTATTTAAGTATTACTTAGTATTATAACTGAACATTATGGATTCTATCAGAAAGACAGAAAACAGTCATGTTCAAAATCAGAAATACGATGAGACTGTAGTTTTCTGATTCATTGTAATCTAATCATTAATTCTTGTGTTAATACAGACCACATAACTGAAACAGTTGTGATTTTTAAAAGAATTTATTTAGTAAATTTATAAAATTATTTTTGTCCTTTGCCATGCATAATATATAGAACTAAATTTTTTTCTTTTTCTACAATATTTGCCTATTAAAATTAAGCTACTAAAATAATATTTACAGCAATATTTATTGGTAAATAGCCTAAAATGTAAATTCAAGCAGAAATCTGAAATACTGAATTTCATGTTTTTTCAGTAAATCATAACCTATAATTTACATACATTTAATTTATTACATGTACATTTGACTTCTGTTATCAATTGTTTGAAGTAACTATTGTCATTTTTTCAAAACCTAAGAAGTAAGGAAATCTGGTAAATATGTAGATTTGAGCCAGCACTTTAAATTACTATTTTCTGTGGCTAAAAACAACACCAAAAAAACCCTAGTCCACTAGAAATATAAAACCATCAAACCAACAAAACTCTAACAGTATTACATTTAATAGTAGATTTCATTATTCAGTCATTGTCTACATAGCAAGCACATGACTAAAAGATACAATTACTAGTGTTGAGTCTCAGTATCTGTTGTTTTATGCAGGTCACTGCACAGTTTCAAATTTGTGTGGTGTATTTTAATAATTTTAACACAGTAGAGTAGTGTTAGTTTTAGACCTACAGTAGAGGCACCTTTGCAATTCCTACAGTTTGTAAAATGCTTGCCCATACCAGTTTTCCACCAGGAGTGCGAGATACTAAGGCCCAGTTCTCAGCCCACGTAAGGTCCAGTGGAACTACTGATCTATCCCAGCTGTAGGTTTGAATCTGTTGACATGATGAGTTACTGCTGATCCCGATGCAAGTTTCTGTGTGTATATTATGAGCATTACAGTATATGACCCTATCTAGCTCCTGAGTCAGAGCCGTTCAGTTAACCAAAAAAACCCCAAATGTTTACTTGTAGCAGTGCTGCTGAGCCATTAACTGTGACTATTATTAAACCGTACTGTACAAAAAAGTTCTGCATGTTAGCGTCCTTATTCTTTCACAGAAAAAAATGTTAAGACCCTGACTTTAAGATCAACATTGCTGTTGACGATTAATGGCAAGTGACAGTCAGAACTGAAAGAAGAAAGCATCATTATCAAATCTCTTACAGAGTATGAAGAACTGGCAAATCTTAAATTCTCTCCTGCTGTCAGATATCATACTTCTATCTGGACTACATTTTGTGCATATTGTAAAATTAACTAAAATACTAAATCATACAGACTTAAGAACATACTTCAACAAAACTGATTCATATCTGGGTGCTGGTATTTTGAATATATTAAGACGATATATTTATCTTATCAACATTTAAACTTGCAAGCATCCCATAGGCCAAAGAAAATAAAACAACCCTAATAAATATGCTGAAAAACCCCATACCTCAGTATGAAATCCTGACCCCTTCTCCAACTAAGTACACACCGTCCAAACACACTGAGAATGCCAAGCTACAGGGGCCCCTCTGTGGGGAAGCCCGTATTTCAGTCGGCAGCATCCGTCAGCTACAGCAGGAGCGCAGGGACAGATGCTGGAGGAAGGATGACACAGTGCAGGGACAGATGCTGGAGGAAGGATGACACGTAAAGTGGTGGCCAATTTCAGAACCACTGTGTGTTTCTCTGTACGAGTAAGTCAATGCCATACGTGTACTAAGGCAGGATTTTGTCCATATTTACGCGTAGAACACAACTATCACTCGTTTCAGTGTGAGATTATGGTGCTAATTAGGCTCTTGGTCCCGCAGTACTGCCCCATCTCCCAGCAGGGCCACACAGTCTAAGTGGGGCAAAAGCGTGCTGTACAACTGCCTGGGCTGCTGCGGCAAGGACACACCAGCACACGGGGGCACGATCGCCAATTCCAAACCCGCCGCCCGAGGCTGGCTGAGGCAGCGCTGCGCCGGGCAATTCCCTCACGGGCAGCGGCCGCTCGAGGGCTCGGGAACGGCACTCCGGGAACGCGCGCTCCGCTCCCCGTCCTTGTCACTAGCAAGGCCTGGGTGGAGTGTCGGCAACCCGCTACAGCCAGGCCTAAGCCAGCTCTCGGTTCGCTCATGAGGGAAGCGGACCGGCACAGAGGGGCTCGCGAGGAGAACCGGCCGTGGCGGTGTCCACCAGGACCCGCCTGTCCCTCGAACACCTGCTCGGGGAGCGCTTTTCCCCGCTGGTGCGCCACCCGGCCGGCGGGGCCGGCGGGACGCTCTCCGCCAGGCTCTGGGCGGCTCGGGAAGCGCGGCCGCGGCCCCGCGCGCGGAGCCCGGGAAAGCTCCGGGCGGGCCGGGCAGCGGCGCGAGCGGCGGCGGGGGCGGGGCGCGGCGCGGGGGCGGGGCCGCGCGCGGCCGTTGGGAAGTTGCGTCACGGCGGGCGCGCGCGGCTGCGCGAGGGCGGCGGATTCGAACGGCGCAGGGAGCGAGGGCGGCGCGGGATCGGCGGGAGGAGGAGGAAGGAGAGGAAGGCAGGCGGGAGGAGGAAGAGGATGAGGAGCACGGCGCCCCGCGGCACTTTGCGGAAAATTCTAAAGAAGCACAAGCCGCAGTTACGCCTGGCGGCCAACGTCGACCTGCTGGTGAGGAAGGAGAGGGGCGAGGGAGAGGCGAGGCTGCGGCTGCCCCGGGGAGTCCGGCGCAGCTCCTGCTTCTGGCCACGGCGGCAGCCGCCGCTGCGCTGCTGCTCCGGGGGCAGCCGGCCCCCAACTGGGACGCTTACTCCCTGAATGTTCTGGCCTGTGCCCCCTGGAGTGCTCTGTGTGTGGCGGGATGTCCAGTTACTTCTGCAGGGACCCGCAGGCAGGGGGGAGGCAAAGCTTGGAGGGACAGACGGTTGGTCTGTGAGAAAACAGGGATGAGCAGAGATCGCCGCTTTGCTGATGGCTGCTGTAGTGTAGCTCTTCGACAGAGACCTTGGGGATTCAGGGGCGGGCTGATGCATGGCTTTTGTGCCACTATGTCCACACTGATGTTCACAGAGTTTGCTGTAGACACCGAGAAACAGCAGTTTGGATTACCTGGCTGCTAGATGCCGGTGTTTGTGTAGGGCAGTTCGGGCGTACAGGTAGTCAGTTGAGCTGTGGTCAGTGAGTTGCTAAGCTGCTATGGCACCTTGAGTGCGCTCACATGTTTTTAGAAGGTCATCTAAGTCGACTCTGCCCTAAACTGTGAGATGACAAGTCTTGTTAGTAATCCAGTAAGGTGTTGGGGTCCTAATCACGGTTAAAAATGCCTGCCAGAAAGGTGCGGATAAAAGATTTGCAAGTTTGCAAAAACAGGCCAATAAAGCTGATTTGCTGCTGACCTGCTCTAAGGGATTTGTAGCACAGGTAGGGTTTGTCTCACCAAGAAATTATTTGACTACAGGAGGGAAACCTGAACTCAAGAGAGCTTGTGCTAGTTGCTGTATTGAAAAAAAAAAAAATCATAAGAAAGATGCTCTTTGAAATAACTTAGTAGACTTAACTTGCTGGACTGTGATATCCTCTTGTTTACAAATGTATGTGGCTCTCAGTGCATTAAAGCATTAACACTAGTATGTTGTATACTGGTATGGGCCCTGACTTGAGTTGTAAGTCCACGCTTTGTATGTGTATAAAAATTGTATCTTGCAGCATCTTGCAAGTTGGTATCTGGATATATGAAGCTAAATGTAAACATATAAAATTAAAATAAATAATATGAGATTAAAATGAATTAAAATGGCAATTACTTGAGAGTATTTAGATTTGAATGCAAACATTAAATATTTTTCTAATGGAGTGGAGCTAATAAAAATATGATCTCTTCCTGATGTTTTTGCTGCATTTGGATTTTTTTATGGACTAAGGACCTGGCCTCTTGCTACTCATGCTCAGACCTACTCAAAGCTTTACTCTGTGGAATGCAGTAGTCAACTAATCAAATGCACACAATCACACTCTTTTTTTTCAATCCTTGGTAACAGCTGGTCTGTGTTTCCAGAGTAATGAAAATTTGGCTTCAAAGTAGTGTGCTGTCTGAAAAGGGGTAAGTGGGACATCCCTCCAAACCTTGGCTTTTGGTTCCCATCTCTTCCTGGTCCTGGCACTAAAGTTCTTTGAGCTGCAAAGACAGTCAGTGAATTGAATTCACTGAAACCAATAAACAACAGCAATCAGATCCAGCTTAAAATATGGCCATGCAAATGTTCATTGCAACACAAAGGATGAGATCAGAATAAATTTTAATAATGTGATGTAAACTTAGATTATCTCTTCTGGTGATGTCAGATTACACAGCTTTTATATTACAAGGCTTGGCTTTTTTATTTTACCTTTAAACAAGAATGTCCAGGTGTGGTGGTTTTCCATGATGTTCTTCAACTAGGCTTGTGTCTAACAGCTCTTTCACTCTTTATTTCCATGGCTAAATAATCAACACAGCTGAAATTATACCTCTTTTATGGGAAAAAAAAAAAATTGGTGAGTTTATTGTGTAGTAAGACAAGTAACAAATTTTTAGTATGTTTTCTAGTGACTGTGTTATTCTCTGCAAACCCTGTAAGAGTGATTAGATGGCATACATCAGAAATTTATATAGTAGCTGTCTTAACAAGATGGAGCCATATACTTTTTGAGCAGAGCTTATTTCTTCTTGAGGGAAGTAGGAGAAACGTACTAGTTCAATTTCTGGGCTATCTTCCAGAATGATCCATGCTTTATGTCTTGAATGTATTGCAGTATGTGCCCATTTCAATAAATTGGTCTGCCTGCCTTAGGAGAAAATAAGATTGCTTTCTTTTTCCCCTAACCTTCAGTGATTATTTGCTTGATAAACCAATGTCTTCTTACGTGATTGTAACAAGTTTAAAAGGCATAAAAATTCAGAAAATTTTGTTAAATACTTGGAGGAGGTTGTTTCTTCACTTTTGATCAAGTCTCTTCTTGAAATCTGAAGCTTTGTCAGAACCTGTTTCTTAGTGTTAACATCTATCTCTTTGTGCGGTGTAGCTATCAAATTTCATTAGCCTTTTCTTAGGAAGATGTTTGATTTTGTTTTTGTTTTCTTTCTTTTTTTGTTTAAGGAGTATGATAATATCTTTGGGTAAAGAGATGCAAATCCTGTTTTAGGTTTTTTCAAGGCTCTTTTCAAAGATAAGAGGAAATGATTTTAGTACTGAAGTTCAGATATTTCCCCAATGGTTAGAGAAGAAAATATGCAAGCATTGTTCTAGCTTGCAATAATAGAAGAAAAGCAGGATCTCAGGTGCTTCTTGTATGCTAGAACAGCACATGTGTTTCCATTGCAGGAAAAGCTTAAAATATTGCACTGAATGGTCTCTTTTTTTAATTGGTTATCGTCACAGAATAATTAATAAGTGTACATTGAAAGTGAAATATCAGTCTAAAGAATTGTTTTGAAGTTACAGCAGTAAAACAAAATTACAGTGATTGTCCATGCTATTCCTGAGTTCTGTTGAACAGGTGTATGGAAGTTGCTGTGGATTTTTTACATATGTGTAAACAGTGCTGTGGATTTTTTACATATGTTCTTAAGATTTTACAGCCTTTCTTTTCTAGAAAGTAAGCATTCAGTTTTGTAAGGTGAATTTCATAACTAGTTAGTTCAAAACTGTTTTTAAATTTTATGCGGAAGGACAATAATTTAATATGTAGTAAAGCAATGTCCTTAAATATGGTATTGCTTAGTTACTTGCCGGTAACTGTCCTAGTCATGGTATTCAGTCATTCTACCTTTCACTAGCCTTTCTCAATTGCCTTGAATAACCTGGATTATTTTCACCTGTGTGCTCTGTTGTGAAATGTTCCAATTTTAGTTATGTGATTGTTTAAATCTATTGGAGTACAGGGGAAGCTTCTCCACATGCAGCAATTCACTTTGAAAATAGGAAAAGAAAAGTACAGTGATTTTGAGAGAAGATGCAGTTTTATAATGCAATTTTAAAATTAATGCTTTTGCCTTAGGAATCTCAGAGCAGGTCATGCAAATGTGGAAGCTTTTGTTCCATCTCTCACTTCTCCTTCAGGTTGTTTCCAGAAATTTAATCTCCATGTTGATAAGTTTAATAGTGAGAATTCTATTGTTGGACATTATTGGAGATAACTTCAGTGTGAATAATTAAAGACTGGTTCTAAAATGGCTCTTATGTGAAATAAATCTGCAGGCACGTGTGCTTTTTGTGTAGTAGGTGCTTCCAAATGATGTTAAATATTATGTAAATTTATCTATTGCACTCTGACTTAATTTAGTTGAGGCTATTAAAAAAAACCACCTAAACTGCTTGTCATATGAACAAGAGTTCTTGTGACAGGAGCATGTAACAGATTCTTCGTGCTGCAAACCCACTGCCAAAGTATTTCTTTTAAGCTCTTAATTTGTAACTTTCCATATTATATTTTTCCAGGCTTTACAGAGAAGTATGGCAGAATAAATGCATCACCTTATTAATATAAATCAAATTTTCATGTGTTTCAGTAATATTTTTCCAAGCGCTTGATTGAAAAAGTCTATTTGTACACTTTATGTAGTTTGTAAGTTTAATTTACAAAGGTGTAATTATCAATTTTTCAGATTGGGTTATTAAAATAGTTGACATAATGCCTGTATAATGCTAGAAGTTTGTCTTGTAGGTTAATTACCACACAAATGTGCTATTCTCTGGCAGTTTTAGTCCAAGCTGGAGCAGTTTCTTCCTTGCCTGCTGCAATTTTTTCCTGCTTCTGTATTAGCAGATCAGTATTCCATACAGAAAGGAATACTGCCTGACCAGTTCTTTTAATATAAAAAAGCTAAGTGATGAGCTGGGAAAAAATGGATGCAACCTCCTGACACTGGAGAATTCCAAGTTCTGGAGAAATTAATGTCAATGTCGCTTTACACTGGAAAGGGGCAGAAGTCCTTGAACTTGTCTGTAGTCCTTATCTGGTGGTAAGGCAGGAATGAATTTGCTGTTCATAAAAGTCGGCTGTTGTAGTCACTGAAAACTAGTTGTATTTACTAGTAAGCAAAAAGGCTCCTTATTCTCTGATGTTTGTGTTTACATTTGATTATTAAAAACTGCTAATAAAAATCAAGGTCAGTTGTGGTTTGCGTGATGGTTTCTAAAGCACTTCTGTAATTTAAGTATACTAAATTTAAACTCTGTTTACAAGAATCTTGCATGAAGGGAATATCTTGGAAATTTACTGAGGCTTGAACTGAGTGATAAATTTTTTTTTCTGAGAATACCTTTCAGGAATTTGGAAGCAGTATAATATGCAAATTTCCTGTTGCAAACAATGAATTTTTAAAAAAGCAAACTGTGTTTAAACAACTTGAATAATTTTTTTTTTCTTCTCTATTTTAAAGGTTCATTTGAGTTTCTTATTGTTTCTCCATCGGCTAGCAGAAGAAGCCAGGACAAATGCTTTTGAGAACAAAAGTAAAACAATAAAACCTGAGCACATCATATCTGCAGCGAAGGTATTAACACACTTCTAATATTTTTCATTTTTGTAAAATGTATTATGACAGCATATACAGAAGATTTCTGTGTTAAAGTGGATATTTGATTTATAATCCAAAATCTATAGACACTTAATATTCTTTGTTCATCACTGACATAATTTACTGTTACCAAGACAACAAATTAACTCTCCTTGCCCTATTAAATATTACCCATTTTTTCTTGATTATTCCCTGTTTAAAGTCATAATTTCAGTATATGACTAAGTCTGCAAAATGGTCTACCAGCAAGCCTTCATGGCATGGAAGGCAGTCCAAAGTTGGAGGATCCTTATTTCAGCTGATAATACATCAAGGAAGCACGCTGTCTTAACTTCAGTGATATAAGTGAAGCTTTGTGGAACAGATGAGAAATAGTTCAGTGAGGTTCATATACCTTTCTTACATCTTCAGTTCTTACCTGCTTAGTCTGAAATAAGTTCGTAGTGGATTCTGGCAGCATTGTTTGGATACTTCTTGAACAAACAGGTACTTTGTGTGATGTATTTGGCAAGAAAAGAACTAAAGGAGAATTAGACTGTGGATTGTTATATGGGTAGTTCAGCATAACAAAAATTGCTGTATGAATATCTGTGAAAAAGGAATTTGCTGCATTGCAAAGCATGGAGAGTTTTGTTTACATGCAAAAGAAGGGAAAAGGGTAGATGTTACGCAGCTTTGTCTCTCTAGAAAGAATTAGTGTCAAAATATGACTGAAATCCTTTTACTATTCTGTAACTCATTTCACTCTCTAGGATATGTCTGCTTTACCTTGTCATGAAGGAATTCAGTCTCTTTATTTTATCTCTTTAATCACCTTCTGCTGAGCAAATTGGGAGGACAAAATTTGATGTTATCTGATATTTTGGTCCTGTGGCCTCTGTTTATCTTCACTATTTTTTTCCCTTCTACTGAAAGGTTTAGTTTTATACTTTTCTATTACTATAGTGACAGAAACATATACAGGATATGTAGAGTAGCCAAGTAAATGTTGCAGTTGGAGTCTTAAGACAATTATGGTTTCTTTCTAACTGCGATCATAGCACTTTTTGAACATTTTTGTGCTCCATTTATTTTTTTAAGGTGGAAAGAAAGGAAAAACTGCTTATATTTTAATAATTTTACTTAAATAATCCCACTTGGACTTTGAAGTTCATTTTTCAAATTAAACTCGAAACCAAAAGATGTCCTTCCAAAGGTCTGTGTGCTCTTGATATAAAAAGAAGTGAGGCATTGCAAACAAAAATTGAGCATAAGAGCTGTATTATTGCAAACCTTATTTCTTGTTTTTGTCTAGGCCTAACAGGGTAAGAACTTCAAGGAATGTACTGATGGCTCGAGAGTACTATTGCCATTTCACAGCATTAATTTTCAAAATAAGCCTTTTATTTTACAAATTCTTGCTTATGAATGTTCTTGCTTAAGAAAAAAAAACTCAAAATTGAAATCTTTCTATATACTTTTGCTTTATTTCTGATATTTTTCCTAGAGTATTACCCTTTGCAACACAGCTCTTGGAAACAGATTGGTTAGATGAACCTTTGATCTCAGTAGCCTAGTGTTTTGAATCTCTTGTCTGCTGCCTGAATTGTATTGATAAATATACTTTTTTCTTTTCAGGTTATTTTAAAGAAAAGCAGAGGCTAGAAAACAGACCACTGGAATTTTAAAACACATTTTTCAATGTTTTCTAACTAATTTGAGTTACACTGTGAACAGTTTTAGCACTTGTGGAACCTATGTAGTTTTCTTGACATCTATCTCCTGACTATCTTGCTGTTTCTTAAAAAAAAAAAAATTAAAAATCTTAAGTTGTGTATTTTCGTACACTTCATGCATAATTTTAATTTATGTGTGTCACTTGTCACTTAAGACTTTTGATGTACCTTATTTCATAATGATGGAGGAATGTTTGTACCATAGATACCCTATGGTACAATGCGGCATTTATTATTAAAAGTGTGAAACTTCTTAAGGGGAACAGTAGTTAAAAAAAAAACACCAGCGCAAGTTTCACTAAATCTACTATAGATTGTGCAGTTCATAGCAGGTTTACTAATTATGGCTTTCAAAATTATGGCTTTCAAAACAATCACTGTAGAAAGAAGTGTATTAAATACCTTGTCTTCAGTTTATTTATAAATGTCTTGATAATTTTGAAATTACTTTGAAAAGTAGGTTGAAACTTCTGTGTTCTGGGGAAAGAATACATAGTTGGTATTTTAAATCACGGTTTGAACTGTTAAGCTGATGTGTTTGATGTGGTATATGAGACAACTTGGTGATCTGTAATTAATTTGGTGTGGGCAGATACACAGGTTATGGAAAAGGAAAGATCTGGCACAGCTGAAGTTTTCAAAGTTAGATCTTGTAAAAATAACAAAGATAAGTTAGCATGAGTGCCAAGCTATTTCCTTCTCTCTTTTGTGTGTCATGCTAACTTGTCAAAAGTTTGGAATTGTACATTATATAAAAATGTCTTCTTAAATTCAGATCATATTCTGTTGCTATTCTGATATTTGTAATACTTTCCTGAACACTTTGCTTAATAAATATATTAAAGTTATAGACAATTTTACAGTTTGAGCTGATAATGCAGTTTAATGGAATATATGGTAGCTGATCCTTGATATGCACACTGAGCTGTTCTCAAAATAAAAAAATCTTTACAAGTGGTACGTATTGAGTAGTCTAATTTTGTTTGACAAGTATATTCTAGAAACTTAGCAAAAAAATCTATTTTAGAAATATTTTTGTAGTCTAAAGAAACTGTAGCAATGCCAATACTTAAAATTACATGTCATGTCCATGTACTTTTTAAAATGCTGTATAACCTTTGAGAAGTCATCCTCTTCCAGTATGCAGAAAGGAAGGAAGCATTACTCTCCTGCTTTACTTGACTCACAGAGCTTAGTGCATTCAGCTTCTTGTAAGGGTTGACTAGATTATTTATTCCACATTTTCTTCTCTTACTCCCTTGGAATCCACAAAGAAGGCCAAGAATATACACATGTAGAGGATATGTGGATAGAGGATATTAATAATCCGAAGTGCCGTTCCATTCTCGGGAATAAGGAAGATCTGACTAGGTATTTATATTTTTATTCGTAATTACTGTCTTTAATTTAACAATTTTATTGCGACACTAGATTTTCCTTAGAAATGTTTTCATTTTCCCTGAAATATTTTATTAAGAGTCTTATATAGTCACGTACCTCTTCTTCATTGTACAATTGTTTGATTGCTATGGCTTCTTTTGGAACATGTTTTGATTGCCACTTTAGCTTTTTCATTTTTGATTTTTCTAGGAGCAAGGTCCACTCTGAGCTTAGTGGAATATTCTCATGTAGTAGTTTGATTAATGATCAGCTACCAATGGGGAAAGGAGGCAAAAAAGGAGGCAAAAAAACCAACCACCAGTGTACTTTTGAAATATTTTGTACGGTGGGTTTGGTGTGTATTCATGGTTAAGAAGCTGCCTCTTTTTAATAGGAGAGGGACTTTGATAGTATATTATGAATATTTTGCAATAGCTGGAGCAGGCAGGTATTAAGAAGTCCTAGGTAGCTTGGAAGGTATTCAGATTTCTCTCATAAATGTCAAATAAATACTTATTGAAAATTAATGGGGCCAATAAAGTGGGCTTAAGCTTTTAGAAACATAAAATGCTATTGTGTTTTTCTAGTATCTTCTTGAACATTCACCATCAGGTTAATTGTATTCCTATTTGACAGCTCTTCTGTTCTCCTTCCTGTATATACCTAGGATCTCTTCTCTACAAGTATTCCTTGCTGGATTTTTGAAATTAAAACTTACAGCAGTATTGTCTAAATACCCATGAACACTTACAATTAATATAAACTTGGAGGCTATAGCAATAGTTTATTCCTGTGTCATGTGTCTGTTTAATGACTAAGTATCAAAGCATGTAAATTTTTTTTTAATTAGATCTGTAATAGAAGACCTTATTAATTTGTATTATTTGAATTCCTGTGTTGCTTCTTTGCCATTAAGAGGAAAAAGGCAAAGATTTTTTATGGAAGAGTTATGGTGATGCTCAACTATTTTCATGAAACCTTGCGAAATGTATAGTTCTGAAACAACTCGCTCAAGATTGAATTTCCTCTGGTTTTAAGCTTAAGATTCAAGAGCTTAAAGAGAGGTGCTCTATTACTACAATTAAAACTCTGCATTTCCTCAGAAAGCAGGATGGATATACTAAAAAATTAGAGGCACACTCAGACATTCATTTTTTCTATTCTTTCTTCTTTGCATCTTTCCCTATGTTCTGTTTTACATCCTACCCTGCCCTTTCACTCTAACCATCAATGAAAAAGGGTAAAGTAATGAAGAAATAGAATTTGGTAGAAGTACTTCTGGTAGCCCTTATCTGGTTTTCAGCTTTTGATATGGCTAGTGTTAGACCCTGGGCCAGGGTAGTATCATAATTGATGAAGCTGCAAAAGAAGAAGGAAAATGTTTATTGATTAGCAGGTGACTGATGGAAGAGGGTGGTTCTACTGCTATTTTTGTTTCACTTATGGAGTGACTGGTGAGAGCGCATCTGCTGTTTGCCAACCTGAGTGTCTTCTGGTCGGGAGTATGCCCCATTCCAGCTCACACTCACAGCATGCATTCTGTGCTTTGATTTTGTAGAGCATGTAAGTTTAAAATTTTCTGAGTGATATAAATCACCCAATTATTATATATAAAACTTGTAAAAAGTGTGGATATTAAGAATGGCATGTCAGTGAAGGTTAAGTCTATGGACCTAACTCCTAATGGTGTCAATGAATAAATGAACTTGTATACTTTGATGGGTCGGGACCCAGTAGTCACTGTTCTATTTGAATGTAAAGTTGTATCTATTGTTTTTAGTCAGAACATCAACACAGGTGCTAGAGAGGACATTCACACCTCTGAGTTTCATTGTGGCTTTATGTGGAGAAGTGAGTGACGGCTGAAAAAGAACCTTAAATTTCATAATAAAAATAGTTCATATTTTCTGGTTACAGTCATATAGTAAAAGAAAATAAATCCAGAAATATGTATGCTGTAATAGAAAAATTCTTTTTCTAGCCATAAGGTGGGGATAGAGCAAAAATTCTCTTTTTTCCTTGTGGTAACTTTCCATTAGATTAAGCATTCCAACTATTCCTGCTAAAAAAGTATGCTATAGATTATGACACTTTCTGCTATTTTTTGAAGACTACCAAGCCTATACTGCTGACATATGTACAGAAACTAATGTTTAAAATAAAAAAAAATACCATTCACATCCAAAACAGGATGTTCTCCTGATCTGTGCTGAGAGGGTAGAAGATATGAAGGATCTTGAAGATGTTTCTTTATTCAAAGCTTAATCTTTCAGTATTGTGTAGTTTTCTTAATTAGAGGTCTATAGTTATTCATACAGCATAGCCTCGGTTTTAGAAATGGGTATATTCTATGTGTGGTTTTGTGAAGGAAGTTCTTGTACAAGACCATACTTATTTAGCAGCCTGAACCATGAAACAGCTTGTACTGCCTGACTTGCTGACTTCGCATTCCATTAGTCTTTATCAGAGCTACTAAGGGCATGTAAATCCTAAATGTATAGGATGAGGTGACTTAAGACTATGTGTTTAGAAGGTGTGACTTGCATTTCAAATAAAAATGCTGAGTACATGAAATCAAAATTCTTTTTTCCAGAGCTGTGAGGTATGTGTCAAATTCAAGTTCATTAGAATTTTTCAAAGCAATGTGTGTAGTTGTTTTTCAGTTCCATATATGTATTATCATATACTATGTGTATGTATTGCCATATAGATTCCTTCATATATTTTAATGGTACTTTAATGGTAATGTAGCTGCTGTGATAGCCTACTTGGATATGATAAAAGAGGGTATTAGAACAATTTTCTTACACGTTTGAGTAGCTTCAATTCTAGGCTGAGAAGATGCTGACAGCATTTCTGTTGTGCTAAATACAGAATTGCAACTTTTTGAAGAACCTGAAGAGTCTTCCACCTGAGAGTTCATGGCTCTGCAGACATAATCAGTTGGAATTCATTCATTTACTGTTTGGTGAACGATGTTGGGGGTTTGTCAGTTTCTTTGCAATCCACATTCATCAAATTTACATGGGCTTTGATACATAATATTCTCCTGTGGGCTGGGTTATTAATGTTATCCTGACCAAATTGCTGAAAGATCTTTTCAGGTCATTTGATACCTATAAGATCAAGTTTCTTACTGAGAAAGGTCACTTTACTGGGGGAATGATTTCAGGGCATGGAGAACATGGTGGAGTATAGAAAAACACCTAAACACCCCTAAAGTAATTTCTGGTTTAAAAGACCCCTAGTGTAGACACAAACTTACTACCCGATAATAATGTGACTGCTGCAGTTAAATAAAAACTTTTATTTTTGCAAATAAAAGCAGAAGTTAAATAAAACCATTCCTCCATCAGTGGTTTGCTCAATCTTCTGCAGCTAGGTCAGGCTCTACAGAAAGGCTCCTAAAAAGTTCCCTATTGCCAGCATACCTTTGTATGTTGGCAATAGGGCAGATCCTGAATCAAAATTTATAAAGGGCAAATACTTCCAGATAAATGCAGTCAGGGGTAGAGTTTGATTAGCTGGAGTTTCCAGTGTGTTATAGGGGGCTGAAATTGGTGTAATTGTATTAGTGCTAACCTTTAAAATTGACAGCCTAATGTGAATTGTTTTCATTTATTCAACTTCAGTAGATAAGTACACACACAAATTATATTATGTAACAAGTAATTTTTAATGAATTGCTGCAACTTTTATAAATAAACCAGGTAAAGGAAAACATTTAAGTAAGAGATAAGATAGTTTTTAAAATTCTATTGCATGCCTGAAATCTTAGTACAAGCAAGCCTCTAGTAATAGCTGTTGAAGCTGTTTTTCATGTAGCAAAAGCTTAAGTTACTAGTGATGGTGGGTTACATATAAATGTTTAAATTATTTAGTTGATTTTTGCTCTTCAGAGAAAATTATGCTTCCAAAATTGGCCAACTCTAAATATCACTGATTCCTGAAGATTGGCTAGAATTAAAAGTGAGGTAAAAGACAGTAATTATAAAAAAACCCCAACCAAACAATAACAACAACAACAAAAAACCAAACCAAACAAACAAAAAAAAACAAACAAGGAGGAGTCAAGAAAAGGGAAGGATAAGTGCATTTCATAGTTAAGGTTGGCCAGATAATGATCTCTTTCGGTGGTTTCACCATTTGTGTTTGATGTTGAAGTTTAACGGTGGGCTCCCACATTTTCCAGATTTAACAGGTTTGGTGTCGGTAATGGAGGGCGGTAGCTTTCATGTAGTCTAGATAACAATATTTTTCTAAAACTTTTTCTAATATAGATAAGGGGTATCTTACTAAATTGCTACCAGAATTGCACACAGTAATTAGTTTTGATGATACTTTACCTATCTTGGAAGTTTTCCCCACAAATTCATATGGAATAAACCTTGAAAATTCAGATCAGAAATGAAAAAAATGTCATCTTCTTTTGTCTCCTGTTTTTCTTGTTACCCTTTCCATATCTGGATAAGACTGGAGAGCCACAGTGAAGGTTTATTTTAGGGCAGCGACAACATTTAAAAGTACTGCCAAAGGATGGATTAACTTTCAATCCTTTTTGAAGGCCCATTCACAAAATG